GCTCCTAAGCCAACTTTCAGGATTGTAGCAATTTCGATTTACAGTCGATGATTTGAGAAAGTGATTCTGTATAAGTCTGTGTAGAATCCCTATCAATTACCTTAGTTATGAAATCATATTTTCTTTCAATAACATCTCAAGATTATACGGCAGCAGTTGAGCATTACAGGTTTTCGAAAGAAGGTGTTTGATCTTGTCTTTAAAAACCAATTTTAAATGATGCATAAACTTCCGAAACGCACTCGAAACCGCACACCACTGCGGCTGACGGCTTGAGTCATCACATTTTGGTGAAAATATGCAGCCGAGCGCTTGCGACATGTCGATGCAGTAGGCTCCGCATTTGACTTGACCAAAAAAACACCCTAAAAACTTGTAAATTTAGTGCAAACGAGCGAACAGAGGGATATCAGGAATATTCCATATCAAAAGCACACATTCGTCGCTGCCGTCATGGCAGTCAGGTTTGCCGTCGTGAAACACCGTGATGGGTACGCAGCGACCGAATCCACAATCGAAATCGCCTGGCATACAACGTCCTGGTAGTCGACCAGACACCGCTACAATGTTATTTCTTTCTTTGAATCAAAAGGAGAATCTCTTTTTTTAGGTGGATTTTATATAAACTCTTCTCAACTTCGCTCCTGCTGTTACAATAAGAAGTTCTTATCATCCTAGATGATTTTACCAACTTGCTTTTATAACCTCGTAATCTTGCGTATCCGGTGTTTAATTCTGCACTGAAATGTGTCTTTGATTGGAGTCCTATGCGCAATCCGTCGCCTAACATATGCTCCATACAAAAAAAGAACACGTGGGATGTCATGTGGAAATTTTTAAAATATACCTCCTAATGGTCAATTGAACCGCAAAAAGAACCAGAAATTATTCATGCCTAATGGATTAGCAATCTTGTCTCTAGATTGCAGAAAGTTTTTAGTAATAGTCGTTTTGCCAAAATTGATGGTTAACGCATACAATATGAAAAGTGGTTTCCTATATATCTGATTTTTTTATGATTGGAAGAGGAAATTGCACATTAACAAAGAAAAAAGCTAAACATGACTTTGATAGATGATCTACCTTTATCAGGGCAAACAAAATGATTAGATTGAGAAGGGAAGTCTTTGTGCAGATGTTAAGCAGGACCTTATAAAAGCGAAGAAGAATTGATATCGCAGCATTAGAGGGACACACATTGCTATTTTAAGAAAGCGCATAGCTTAATGAAAAAAAGGGGTAACGCTAACACAAGACTAAAAAGAAATAACCCAAAAATGCCATCAAAAATTTCAAAGCGCTGAGTTTCTTGATTACCACTTGATGAGCACTGCTGATGCTAATTTTCACGTATCCACTTTGAAGAAATTCCTTCTGTGATGGTAAGGGTTTTGCCGTTGAGAAGAGGCTGATGGCAAGCCTACCTTCATCAAAGTTAAAGAATTGTGCATAATTAAATTTGGCTATCAAACTGTCAAACCTCAAATTGTTGCTATCTTTAATACTTTGTACAATGAATGCAAAAATGGGTATTCCATTACTTTTGGCAGCTAATTGTTGTGACCTATTAATTCGTGTGTTTTGATGATGACAATCGAATAGAATGACTAGAAATTTCTAAATGGAGCCATTAGCTTTGTCCGCATTTTTATTTAAATGACATACAATCCAGCAACTTTTGCCTAAATCACATTTTTGATGTGGTGTCGAGAAAAGAATTCGCTATAGAGCACACCATAGAATCAAGTGAATAGACCAAGTATAGAAAACATACGGAGAGTTTGGAAAAAAAAATTTTGTATTGAAATGCTTGAAGGGGATAATCGGCTCAAATCGCTCACTAAGGATAAAGTTAAATTCCAGCACAAGGCGCCATGATTTTGAATGAAAACGAAATATTCACACCTAAAGCCTTGTTACTTCGATCGGCAATAGGAAAAAATTTTCGCCGAACATACCATTATAGCTAGTGTACTGAGCGTATGCTAAGCGCAGAGCTAGCAGGACAATCAGCATGGAGCCATGAACCAAGTTCGCGCCACAACATCAGAACTGCATGCGAAACACTGTAAAAAAAACATTGGAATAAAAATTATAATTCACGGAGACAGATTGACACAATTCGGGTAATTCGTTAAGGTAAGTCTGAGAAATTTCAATGTAGGGAGAAAAAAACATTTGCGGGAAGGCAAATCAGTCAAAGAATGTGATAGATGGAACAGGAAGTATAGTTCTGAATAAAAACTACGCTAAGCTCTCTGCCTAAGCTAAAGTGCAGGCTTAGACCGGATCAACTAGAGGACAAGTGAGTTTTTTGGCTATGGCATTATATAGGAAATCAGTGCTACACCTTCTCCTCCACATATAGAGATAAGTTAAGATCACGCAGGGCAAGGAACAACATCTACATAG